ATTGCCACTTCGCCAGTAGCCAGGTTTCCAATCTTCTTCTTGTCTAAATATCTTATCCTTCTATAATTAAAAGTCCTAATTAAATGATAATATTCTAAAAATGGAATATGTGACACCACAAATAATCAAACTCCCTTATTTAAACTTGCTATTGGCATATGGCATCTGATGTCTTTTATTCCATTTTTAAAATATTATTTATGAATATGCTTATAATCTAATGGTTCAAAAACTTCAAATAGATGGCATAGATCAAGTGCCAAAGGCTTCAATATGATTTTAGTGATGCTTCAAATCAAGTGAAATTTCTTAGGGCAATTGGGCAGATTGTGAGCTACAATCTCTCTCTCTCTCTCTCTCTCTCTCTCTCTCTCTCTCTCTCTATGTGTGTGTGTGTGTGTTAATATTTCCTTTAGTTGGAGCAAGGTTTTGGAAATGAAGATTGTGTGCCCGGATGAGACAAGCCATTTGCTGCTTCTCACGGCTTGCGCTCGTAGTGGAGAAGTGGGCCATTGACTGAAGCTATGCGGCTCTTCTTTAGAACCTTGAAAGTAAGTATTTCAATGTTTTTTGAGAGTTTCCATCTATTTATCTTTGCAGGAACAAGATCCAGACTGGTAGTCAAGTCGCCAGGGAGAAAAGCTGAGAAAATTGGTGAAATGGCTTTATATTTTTTTCATTTTTGTGTTAGAACTAAAACTTTGCAGCTTTCTTTCAGCCTATGCAAGACAATGATTTAAATCCAAGCCTTCAGGAGGAGTACATCCCTGCTGTAAACAACTTTCCTCCATCCCCCTTGCTGCCATCAGCAAATGGTGGGCTTTCCAAGGAGATGAACATGGAAGAAAGTGATGTCAAGTGCTCCACGATTATAGAGAGATTGATGTTTGCAACGAATGGTTTTCACCTCTGGTATCTGGATGAAGATCAGCATCTCACTATCAGGTTTGTCTTTTTTTTTTGTGTGAAACTACATTGTAAACCTTGGTGTGCAGCATGCAGCAGCGGTTGTACATGATAAGATGTTCATGATTGGAGGGAACCACTATGTGAACGATGTCCAGGTATGTAGCTTTTCGCTCTTTAATAACTGTTTGTTGTGGGTGGCCACTCAAAAAACTTCCCCAACTCTGTATCAGGTTAATGTAATGCAGAGGAGCTTTGAGATCCATCTCATTTCAGAGCTCTCTATCTCCAGTTCATGATTTTGACACGGGGACTTTCACTTTCACGTGCAGGAACAAGATCCAGACTGGTAGTCAAGTCGCAAGGGCAAAAAGTTGAGGAAATTGGTGAAATGGCTTTATATTTTATCTTTTTTGTGTTATAACTAAAACTTTGCAGCATTCTTTCAGCCTATGCAAGACAGGAGGAGGACATCCCTGCTGTAAACAACTCTCAACCATCCTTCTTGCTGCCATCAGCAAATGGTGGGATTGTCACGGAGGTGAAAATGGAAGAAAATTATGTCAAGTGCTCCACTATTATGGAGAGATTGATGTTTGCAATGAATGGTTTTCACCTCTGGTATCTGTCTACCTCGATTGTCCACGTGGTGGAGAACAACCTCTGGGCAATTGGCATGGACCACTTTCGAGCTACATTAGTGCCAGAGATCTGGAAGAAAAGAGAGGCTTTTGTATGCATGGAGTTTACGTTGATGGAATGGACGTGCTCAAAGTCAGCGAGGTGGCCAAGGAAGCCATTGCGAGAGCTCGGAGGGTGACGGCCCGATATTAGTGGAGTGTGAGACTTATCGGTATATAGAGGTCATTCTCTCGCCGATCCGGACGAGCTCTGCAAGCCTGGTAAGTGCCTTGCTTTGTTCTTCGCTCTCTTCTGGTTCTTTGGAAGCTAAACTTTGTTCTTTCTTTCTGCCCAGAGCAAAAGAGCAAGCATGCCGCTCGCAATCCCATCCCTCCTTTCAAGAAGTACTTGCTGGAAGAAAGACTAGCCAGTGAGGCAGAGTTGAAAGCCCTCGAAAAGAAGATTGAGGAGATTGTGGAGGATGCCGTGGAGTTTGCGGATGTGTTGCTTCTTCCACCTCACAGCCAGATCCTGGAGAACTTTTGTGGATCGCATAGGCTTTGGAATCTGGCCGGATGGGAAATACAGGGGTGAGGATTCGGCCTTCACAGAGCAAAAATGTTTAGAGACAGGATGCTGTTTGTTGTGGGTGGCCACTCAAAAAACTCCCCCGACTCTGTCTCAGGTTAATGTAATGTAGAGGAGCTTTGAGATCCATCCACTTCAGTACTCTCTATCTCAAGTTCATGCTTTTGACATGAGGACTTTCAGTTTCACTTGCGGATCCAGACTGGTAGTCAAGTCGCAAGGGGAAAAAGTTGAGGGAATTGTTGAAATGGCTTTATATTTGTTCGTTTTTGTGTTAGAACTAAACCTTTGCAGCATTCTTTCAGCCTATGCAAGACAATGATTTAAATCCAAGCCTTCAGGAGTACATCCCTGCTATAAACAACTCTCCTCCATCCCCTTTGCTGCCATCAGCAAATGGTGGAACGATGTCCAGGTATGTAGTGTTTTGCTAATATCTGATGTTGCACCTTTGCCATAGATGCTCAATTTAAGAACACCCACCTGGTCCAAAGTTGAGTAAAAGCTCCCAATGTCTCCTTTTGTCCTTGTCCATGCCACTGATCCCACCCTGTGCCGGTCATTTCTTAGCTTTATACTTTCATCTTGCAATATTCCCGAGTGTTTTTAGAATCTGAAGAACAGGATGCTGTTTGTTGGTGGCCACTTGAGAAACCCTTGACTCTATCTCAGGTTAATATAATGCATTTCAGTGTCTCACTTCAGTGCTCTCTATCTCCAATTCATGTTTTTGATACGCAGGCTTTCATTTGGTTGCGTTTTCCAACATATGGACAAGCTCCGGTGAATGTGACATACTGTATCACGAATCTGAGATTGACCATTTGCTGTTTGAGGGGCCAGTCTGTTTCACTGATCGGATCCTGCTTAGTGGAGTCATGTTTGGTGGAGAAGACTCCAATGTGTTTGCTCAATGACCTCAACATCTTTGATCTGGAAACAATGACATGGGAAGCTGTCAATGCAATATAAGCCAGCACAAATGTATATCGCATGTGAGGTATGCTATTTTGATTATCCTTGCCGGGCTTACTCCGATTCCAGTTGTCATTTTCTGTCCTGCCTAGGGATTGAGTCTCATCTTCATGTGTTTGAATGGCGAAGAATTGGTTGTTTTTGAGACTGTGATTTGTATTGAGGTGGAAGCTGTCAGATGCATGTACTGAAGACATGCAAAAGCCAATCAGGGGTGTCTCCTACTCCGAGTGTTGGTGGAAGCCATTTTACAGGAGCTTGAGGTGGCTCTAGCATCATGCTAAGACGAAATAGCACGTACAGCTATGACTGGTCGAATATGGAGAAACCCTTAGTTTTTGTGAATTGCTTTAATGGCAAGGAGCTTATGCAGCATGATAGTTCATGGCAGAATGAAGTAGAGGCACTCCAGGTTTGGCATTCTTGTTGGATGTCTCTATGCTTCTCTCTGAAAGTGACGAAAAGAATGAGATTGCTATGCTTCAGGTCATGTCGGTGCTGCTGTTGTCCACCAGCAGTGACATTCCTGCCAGTGTTGCTCGCGGCAAGATCAAAATCATCATTGAGTTTTAGGCAAATTGATGAAGATGCCTGGAAAATGAGAGATGAAAACAAGAATAGAAAAAAAAAAAAGAACCAAAAAGGCTCTAGAAATATCTGTATAGCTGAGGGCAGAGGCTCTATATAGCTGTGAGCAGATGCTCTGGAAATGGTTGATTAGAAACTTGAGGAGTCTCTTGATTAGAATCTTGGAGGGGTCAGGAAAACTTCCTAGCAGAGAGTAGAATTTTAAACCTTGGGAGAAAAGAAAGCTTGGATGACAAAAGCAAAGTACCTTGAGCATGTTGCATTGCATAAAATCCTGTCTTGGCTTCTTAAGACAGGAGGACACTGTGTACATCCAAAATGTTCAAGTCATGTCAAAAGTGTTTCTAAGAAGGATTTTCAGATAGAGACAGACTTGGATAGGACATTTAGATTCATACCTTGTCAAGATGCTCTCCATGTGCTTGAAAAAACTTTGGGAGGATGTAACGAGAAGGATTCCAAGCTGATTGCATTACTTGCATGTGCTTCTTGATGGCTTACAATCACTAGCCATCGAATGACAAGGAGTGGAAGAATTAGTGACAAAATAAATGGAAAGTGTGTAAACCTTACTGTTTTAGTCATTTTCTTGCAAAAGAATTTTGAACTAGAGAGGATAAATGTTGGTAATTTAGTGTTTTACATTCTTTTTCAAGTGTTTTAGGTTTTGGTCGTGATGAAGCAAGAGTAGTTACAACATTTTACAAATAAGATTTGGAAGATGATAGTGGTTGAATTTCCATATTTATGGGAATTTGTTTTATGACTCAAAGCATTACTTCCTGGCAGACATTTTGAATGAGTCACGTGTTAAATGTTCATCACAATAGAAACAAACATAAATTTTGAATGAGCAGTATACAAACATCCACTTTTTACTATCAAATTTGGTGGCAACAATGAATTCTTGAAGTACCATTATACTCTTTCTTTCGGTTTTGAAGTTATGCTTAATCAACTTAGCCACTCATGGCAAAGCTCATTATCATTGGATAAATTGCTAGAAGACTTGCTAGCAGTGGGGAGGATGCAAGGAGAGAAGTAATGGCAACACTACTATATTTCCTCCTTTTCCCCTCTTCCCATTTTTTTTTTGTGATAAACTATGGCCTATCAGCCTTAGAAAAGGACAATCCCAAGATCTTTGCCAGTAATTCTTCCCCTCTTCTATATGGCAAGAGTGGATGCAAGTTCTTAGCACTTGCATCATGTACCTACAAAATTACTATCACTAACTTGTAACATCAAAAGTTGTAAATGACTATTAACACTTTTTTAGACATGGCTATCTCTTTTATTTTTTTCAGACTTACATGTTGTTCTGCTCCAAAGTATATATAACAACATATTTTCATCTTTACTTTTCCCAGCGGAGCTGGGAGCCCTGCTAGTTAAATCTATTAGTTATTCCAAACTAATTTAAGGTCGCCATTTCCCTGGCACAAAAGTGTCGCCTGTGCCTGAAGGCTCCGTTGAACTACCAAATCAAGGAGTGAGTTCTTTACAAGGCAAGTGCAATATTGAATTGGTACCTTGAAGAATCTACCGGGCTCCAATCACTGGTATCTTGGCTCTTTTCATCTAAGAATTACTTAAGCTATGTTACAGAAGGACAGGAAAAACAATAGACATAGAGGAAAGCATTTACCCTGCGATGAAACCTGACGTAGAAACCTTTCCATAGTCTGGGGACTCATATCGACTGCATTACAAGATTTAAATCTCTGAGAGACTTTTGGAAGAAGAAAAACCCAGCAAACATACCTCCTTCCTTCTTCAAGCTCTTGGCTCTGAAAATTCGCTTCTCTTCCTCCTTCTGTATTACTGCGCAATCGATCCTGTGTTAAAGTGAAAACCATTTTTCACACAACATTACATGCTGCCTTGATCTTCACATTCTTGCGATACAAAGCTTTGTCCACTAACTCCTACAAAACAAGAAAAAAGGAATTATCATCTCAAGTGAAGAAAAAAAAATCTTTCTTGCCTGTGGCGTCGGCGCATCCTTTCTCGTGTAAGTCAGCCATCTACTCCACTCGACTAGAGAAACTTTGAGAAGGAAGAACAAACAAGAAAATCTAGAAGTTAAAAATACCCGGCACGGTTGTGGGATCTGGATCGCCTGCAAACTCCATCCACCGCTTCTCTGTTGCTAGAAGCAACGATTCCCAGATCAAAAATTCGCTCGAAAACACTGGAAAAACCGAAAATTTTCTACTCACAAACGCCTAGATCATTGACGAAAGGCTTCCGGAAATACGTGTTCCCGCCATCGTCCCGCCCGATGAGCTCCTTGCCGCCATTGAGCTTCACAATCCACGCCACGCTCCTGCCGCCACTGGCCTTGGCGACCCACTGGGAAATTCTCGCTAGCATTCCTTCCTAGGGCTTTCTCAAACGGCAAAAGATGCCAGATTCCTTTATCGCCACGTGGCTTAAAGTTCTATAAACTGGTTATAGGGTTCCTTACAAACTTAGGGTTCTTCAGAACAGAGCAATGGCCAAAGGCGCGTCGCAGAGTCAGCAAGCTGCATCGGTGGTGGCCGCTGGCCGTGGAGGCGCCGGATCGGGCCCCCGCGGAGCTGCCGGCAACGCATCGGGGCTCCGGCGGAGGCGCGCTTCGTCCGGGAGTGGAGGATTTGGGGGCAGCGGCGGAAATATGCTTAGGTTCTACACAGACGATGCGCCGGGGCTCAAGATCACGCCGACGATGGTGCTCGTGATGAGCCTCTGCTTCATAGGGTTTGTGACGGCGCTTCATGTGGTAGGCAAGCTCTACCACTACAAGTCCGCCAGCGCCTAATTCCCCCGGATCTTGAGTGTTTTGCTCCTGTAACACAGATTTCCAAGAATTTCCAATACTTTTGCTTGATCGTTCCTCCTAGGGTTTTTCTTTGGTCCTTGCCTTTGATTTCCAGGCGGTCAAATGGATCCAGCGTTTGTTTGCGCTGGAGATCTCTTTCGGGAAGACAGCGATGGCGAAGAATCAGGTTCTAGTTGTGATCTTGTGCTGACTTAATTTGTTTTCCTTGTTTCCCAGCTGATGCTGGATTTGTCGAAAGAGAGCATTCGTTTCCAGAGATGGTATTTTTTCGAGCTCTATTTTGAAGAAAAAAACCATCTTTCGTTTTGACTTGAATGGATCTCTTTTCAGACGCTCAAAGTTCGTGAGTTTATGTTCCACCAAGTCAATGCGAATCTGCTTTGGCCCGGCTCGACGATTTTTGCGCAGTGGCTCGTGGAGCACAGGGAACTTGTCAAGGGCAGTCGGGTGCTCGAGCTTGGAAGGTACTCTACTCTCGTGTTCCTCGCGGAGTCTGTGACACCCGCAGTCTGTAACAGTGGAACTGGAGCTCTCGCGATTTTCTTGAAGAAGTCACTCGCGGTGGACATCACAACTTGTGACTACGACGACGAGGAGATCGAAGCGAACATTGCGCACAATTGTAAGCTCAATGGCATGGCTCCAATCCCTCATATCCGCCGTAAGTCTTCGAGAGTCTCCAAAGCTTGACTCGCTAGATTGATTGTTTTTTAGTTTTTTCTTCGAAGTATTTCTCATGAACTTCTCTTTGCTCAGATACGTGGGGCGAACGATTTCCTGCAGATGCTCCGGCGTGGGACTTGGTCATCGCCAGCGACATTCTCTTGTGTACGTCTTAAACATTTTCTTTTTCTTATTCCTCTATCAATCCTGGCAGATGTCAAGCAGTACCCGAATCTCGTCAAAACGCTCAAGTTTCTACTAGCCAGTGATCGAGATTCACGGAAGCTCCCACTCTCGAGGAAGCCATGCTTTGTCATGAGCTGGCGACGACGAATTCCAAAAGAGGACGAGGCACTGTTCTTCGCCGACTGTGGGAACGCCGGCTTCCAAGTCGAGGATCTCGGCTCCAGAGTCTACCGCATCACCGCGTAACTCAAGGTAGAAGAACGCTTCCCTGGTTTGACAAGCGCCATCTTTATGTGTGCTCAGGCAAAGCGTATGACTTCTACTCAAATTTTCGTCGCGCAACCAAAGTCTCGCGCGAGAAGAAAAATAAAAATAATTCCACCATCGTGGGAGGAGCATCAATGATCTTCTTTCGTGCTTAGCAGCTTGGAACAAATTTTCTTCTAGCGATCGATCACTCTTTTAACCTTGTCATAGAAAAAAAAAATCCAATCGGTTTTGTTAAAGAAAATCCATGAGAGATGAGAATAAAATTGAAAGCCACGCCACAAAAGTGTGTGTTCTTTGTGTCCCTGCCCATGCCCATGCCCATATCACCAAATTCCCCATCATCATTCGTGGGTGCCCTAGGCCAGAGAGAGCGAGGGCGCTCCGCCGCGCCGACCCGCGATGCTCGATGCGCGATCGCCCTTCCGCGCAACGCATCGCGGATTGAGGCAGCCGCAATTGGCTAGATAGGGAGCGAGCGATCTTCTTTGGGAATTCTTTCTTTCCCCTTTCTTCCCCTGCGGATCGGCAATGACGGATTTGCGAATCGACAAACGCGAATCGGGATTCTCATAGCGATGGACGAGGTAATCTCTTCTTTCTCCGATTAGGTTGCGCAGCGGAGCTTAGCTTCTTTCGCAAGAAGAACAAACTGGCTTGAGAGATGGGTTTGCTGCGTCCTAATATTGAGGAAGAAGAAAAGGAGCATCACGTAGCGGGCAATACCAGCAATTCGCGTAGATCTTTCTCGCGCCAGGGAAAGAGGGTCCAGCTCAAGCCGGAGGATGAGATGAAGAGGAAGCACGGGGATTTCCTGGATTCCAAGGCCAGAGCTAGCAATTCCGGTGGGAAGAATGGTGGCAATGGTGGTGGCGTGTGGGAGTATCCACCGCCGCCACTATCGCCCACAAGTTTCGGTTCTAAGAAGCTCTCCCCGGCAGCAGCAGCAGCGACGACGACGATCCGTGGTACATTCAATTCCAGCAGCAAAGTGATCGTGGGATTTGAGTCTCCTCCGGCCCAAGAGCAAGGATTTCGAGAGACGGCAGAGAAAGATGGTGGAATTTTCACCAGCCGCAGCACCACCACGAACAATAACAGGAGGAAGATCTCTCCACTCGCGGACATCTTGTCGGATCCAAATAACGATGGCTTGCTCCACTACACGTCCGATGATGACAACACCGCGAGCGCTGTCAAGAAGAATACGAGCGTTGCTCCTCCGGAAGAACAGGAGCAGGCTCTTGCGCTTCCATGCAAGGTGAAGAACGAATGCGTATACGAGTTCTCCAGGAGAGTTGGCGTGAGCACGCCCGTTCCAATTCCCGGGGCTTGCGACGTCCAACAAGGCCTGAAGTTCTCCATCGATGTTTGCTCGAGCACTAAGAATCAAGAGACAACCATCACCACCATCAACAACAAGAGCTGGGAGTCGCCGACCAAGAAGAAAACTGTGGCTCAGATGCTCACACTGTCACCGCTCGGCCGGAGGTATCCTGGTACCAAGACGGAGATGTGGGATCCGGCAGCGATATCAAACCGGCTGCAAATACGAAGCATGTCCCTGGACGATGACTACGAGTTTAGAGATGACAAGCTCGCGCTCCACGACGCAGGTTTGGGAACTTGCTTAAAGAATGGTTTGCCGACGAGAAGATCTCTGGTTGGTTCTTTTGAGGAGTCTTTGCTGTCTGGACGTTTTCTAGCTGGAAAGTCTTGTCAGGTTCGTCTTTTCCTTTTTACTTCTTTACTGGCCTAGTGTTTTCTGACAATGGATTGCAGAAACTGGATGGTTTCCTAGCGCTGCTGAGTGTATCGGGCGGTAGCTGGTCTCCCCAGATGCGCAAGCTCCCGTTCTCGGTTTCGTGTATAGACGGCGACAGTTGCTTGCTATACTACGCTTCTATTGACATCATCCACTCCAAAGCCAAAGCGCAGCAGGCAAACACTTGTATAAAAGAGGAGACGCGTGCATGGAAGGGGTCCCGCTTCAGAGTTCCAATCCGGGGCCGAGTGCAACTGGTAAAGTGTTTATTCGTTGAGGTGTCCTAGTTTTCTCAAGGGCTCTATTGGTTGTAGGTGGTGAGCAATCCAGAAAAGACCCCTGTACATACATTCATCTGCAGCTATGACTTGACAGATATGCCACCAGGAACCAAGGTCTGTCTATGCGTGACTTTTTTCTCCAGGCTCTAGCGCTTATGTGCTCTTGGTTGGCCTTGTGTAGACGTTCATGCGGCAAAAGCTGTCGTTAGCATCCACTGTGGGAAGTCTCAGCAAGCCTCGAAGCGTCACGAGGGACTACATATCGTGTGGCCGCAGACTATTTAAGGGGAGTAGTGGGGATAGGCAGGAGGACAAGAAAGGCACAAACGATTTGGGAGGCGTAGAGGACAGGATAGGAATCATTAGCGGCAGTAGTGGCAGCAGCATAAAAAATAACACGGGGAAGGAGAGATTTGTACAGTCGACAGAGAATAAGCCGCACCAGCAGCAGCAGGATGAGGAGAAAGGAAGAGAGATTTCATTCCAGCAGCAGCAGCAGCAACAGCAGGCAAAAGCAAGAGAGATTTCATTCCGGGAGCAGCAGCAGGAAAAAGCAAGAGAGATTCTGTTCCAGCAGCAGCAGGACAAAGCTTCCAGGCTCGAGGAGAGCTCCGGAACGGTGTTGCGGTACGCGCTTCACATGAGATTCATGTGTGCGCCCCTCAAGAAGCGGGAGCTAGAAGAGAACGCGGAGGAGGAAGAGGAGGCGAGGGCGAGGAAGCCAAGCACGCCCGGGGCAGCAGCGGCGGCGGCGGACAAGCGGAGGTTCTACCTCTACGGCGACTTGCGCGTTGTTTTCCCCCAGAGGCAGTCCGACTCGGACGAAGGCAAGGTGAGTTTAGAGGCTTTGACAATGCGTGATCGATTGATTGATTGGTCATTTGGATCTGGAAACGTTGCAGATGAAAGTGGAGTACGATTTCCCCTCGGATCCCAAGTACTTCGATTACATCTCATGAGGAAAGGCAAAGAGGACCGTTGTGTTTTCATATTTGAAATTTTCTCTGCCGAATGTTCTTGGAATCTAGGGTTGATATTGGAAAGGATGAACAGTGTGAAACAACCAATTTACTTGAAACTTATCACTTGCAAATACAACACTGGAGGAATCCATTGTACACACTTGTTATTGAGAACTGATGTATGATACTGGCCACCTCCATAGTGATGGATGCTGGAGGATGGTGATGACTATGTTCTGGCATGAAGCAGCAAAGTTTCTGCCATAGTTGAACTGCTTCCATTGTTGCTGAAGTAGTTGATGCTACTCCTTTGGAGCTGGCCATTGGGTTTGGCAGTCAATGTTGTGCCACTTCTAGCCTCTGAGGTCTTGTTGCAAAAACTTTGATTAGCTACAGTTCTAATGAAGAGCTTACAGCGTCCCTGCGAGTGCTACAAGAGCAAAGAGTAACGAGATAATAAACTGTGACATGTTGGAATGGATGGATGGAGTTTGAGTTGTGGAGATTGTATGCGTTGTGATTGACTGGGAGCTATTTATAAAACGAGAAGTTCCAACACGAAACTTCAAGTAGTAGCTCAAACAAACTCTTTCTACCAAAAGAGACTGGATCACCAACGACATTTCATTCAAAAATCTTGGAATCTCTCTGGAATGTTGGCAGAGGTCGCCTGGAATTTGGGTATGCCGCGATCAGGGCCAGGACAAGCTCCGCCTCTTGCTGCGGCATCTGGTGGAGCAGTGAGATTTCCGGCGCGTGAAGCATCGCGGCCCGCGTTCCTCAGCGACATCCTCTGGAAGAGCCTCTATGCCCGGCCGAGCTCGGTCCCCTTGGACCGCAACAATCAAGAAGCCCCGTCATTATCCAATCGAAGAGCACGTCAACCCTCTACAAATACCCGAGGCCGAGGCACACCATCTAGTTAAGTTGCACCTCGTGAAAGATCTTCTTTCCATATATTGGATCATCATGTTCTGCATAGAAAAACAAGAGTATGTTCCATGACATAACGTTCCCGATCTGTATTCATCGCAATATTGTCTCCATAAAATAAAAATGCCCATTCGTGGCATATGCTGCGAACATCGCGTTTGAGTAGTCTAGATTGCGGGCAAGAGCCTGTCAATGTGACCGAGATGTCTCGCCAGCATCATAATGTTCCAAGAGAATCAATTGGATCTCAGGATGCGATTGAAGACGTAGCAACGGCCGGATCCATCAGACTCAGCACCGCCACAGAACTTACTCGGCAATCTCCTATACCAGCGCCAACGACGCCTGCCACCCGAGAGATCCTGGTCATCGATCGAGTTCTCCTCAACGTCACAGGAGGTTTTAGAAACTTGGACGATCAATGGGGGGGGGGGGGATTGCGAGGATCACTGACGGGGGAGCTTGCTCGGATCTGCAGCTTGCCAGGCGCCTGCAGGCGACCATGTTGGTTCTTCGCCGGATCTGCTGCCGCGTGATCGATGCGTTCCCGTGCTGTAGCAGCGAAAAGGAAACTCGCCGGGTATGGCGTCACCCAACCTTCTCTCCTGGAGCATCCTCATCTCGACGTATGCCCAGAACCGGCATCTGTGCAAGGCCTTTGAGGCGATGGATCGGAGGAATGTGACATCGTGGAACGCGAAGCTTGCGGGATTCGCCCAGGAATAGGAGCTAGATCGAACAAAAGACCTGTTCGATCGGATGCTCGAGAGATCCTCATCGTGGACAGCGATTATTAACGCGTATGCCCAAGTTATTTGGCTGTCGTGAGAGACATTTGACGCCATGCCCGCCGTGCAATGCCATGCTCGTGGCGTTGCTCAAGAACAGAAGGATGATCGATGCCAGAGACAAACACTCTTGGCTGGTTTCTTCACCGCCTAACGGCACAAGATCTTCTCCTTGAGAGGTGCTTGTCTTATAGAAGAAACTTTCGTGTCACTTTGACGAGGATTTTGGCAAACCAGGTTGTGTCCTCTAGAACTTGGACATCCGCTTCAAACCTGTTGCCTCCAAAAAACCGAAGGGCTAGAAAAGGTAAGAAGTTTTCTTTGATAAAACAACCAATTTATTTGATATTGAAATATCACTCTTCCTGGAGGAATCCATTCGCCATAACATTGCGCGGATGCGGCAGAATCGGGGGATGTTGTGGTTCCAATTGTGATTCAATTGAATTTTGAACAACATGAAAGACGAACGTGTCTCCCAGGGCACATGGTATTTGATATCAATGCCAGATATCCTAATACTCCCACTCGAGCTGACACTGAGAGCTGAGGACAACTTCGGCGCAGATAAAGGTTTGGTAAGGGTATGTCCTGCGTGGGACAATATACCAGCTCAATGATGCCATTTTCATACTGATCACGAAGAAACTGATGTGCCATGTTTCACGATGAAATCTTACGAATTTTGCTGCAATGCTGCCTTGATTGTCACAATAAATATGTGCAGGACCTGGAGGAGAGTACCCCAATTAGTGAGAAGGTGTAGCCATATAGCTCCTTTGCAGGCCGCATTGGCAGCAAGATACTTCACAGCTCGAACAAGCAACCACACTCTGTTTCTTGTTCATGAAGGCTAAAGAAATAGCCAGTGTGTGAGAGTCTGGACACCCTGTCCAGTAAGAACCGTATAAAGAAGGCCAAAAATGGAAGTAGCATGTAAGAAGTAACCTACATCAAACTGCTGGCTGTTGCATGCAAGAAAAGAATCATGCACATAGACAGTGATGTAGATTGCATCTGCTCCCACTCTCTTGATTTTCTCTTGAGAAAATCATCAAGCTTTTTCTACCACTGTCTCAAGCCACAGATTACCTTGTGCTTTTCCTGGAACTTTGTATCCTTCAGGCTGCTCCATGTAGATGTTTTCATCGAGCTCACCATTCAGAAATGCGGTCTTTACATCCATTTGGTGGGCAAGCGAGAGCGAAAGGTTACTCTCAAGTCGCTGGAGTGAACTACACAGAGACTTTTGCACCAGTGGTCAAGCGAGAGCGAAAGGTTACTCTCAAGTCGCTGGAGTGAACTACACAGAGACTTTTGCACCAGTGGTCAAGCTGACCATTATCCTGACTAGATGTGCTTTGTAGCTGTATGATCTGGGTTGAGCTTGATGGTGGGATTCCACATCGCCCGGGCGGAGCTGCTTTCACCAAAGAAAATGGTTATTCTTGATTGGCTGAAAGATGACCATGTCTGAAGCACGAAGCATAAGTTTCCCACAAATGGACAAAGAAGAGGAATGTGAGCATCTTCGATGCACCTTCCTCATTGCTCTCCAGCCTTCCATTCCCGTAGCCAAGATCGAGAGACGTGATGATAGCTCTCAACAATACTGAGGTTCACCAGCTTTGGGGATGGAAGGCTGAAGAGCTTAGAATCGTGGTATCAAAAGAAAGAGGAAGCGTGCATAGAAGATGCTTGCACTCCTTTTCTTCATCCATCTGTGCACCAACAGGCAGGATCTGTTTGACCACTGCAACGTGTGTAAGAAGACGATATGCTTCGGACATTGCCATCGGATTAACTTGTGAATATGTGGCTTTTAAAGTGTCATCCACAAATCGCAGGCTCTTGTGACGCAACTTTCACCGGGTCTGTGCATCTGGAGGTGCAGCAGGATCTGGTTCACAGTTGGAGGAGGAGGAGGACCTCTTCAAGAGGAAAGGCCGCTTCACACGCATGATCCTTGGTCTCCTGCTCATCCTGAATCGGTTAGCCCTCTGATACTATTCAATTGAGATTGTGAGGTGTCTCCCAGCGTGACGTGTCTGGTACTATCGGGTGATGACTATGTTGGCACGAATCAGCAAAGTTTCTGCCACAGTTGAGGCTGCCTCCATTGAAACAGCTGTTAAGGTCGATGTTGCTTCTCTGGAGCTGGCCATTGGGTTTATAGCAAATGTTGTGCCGCTTATAACGTCCCAGTGAGCTATTCTCAAAGTTATACATGGCACAGCGAAGACTAAAGAGATAAACAACCGAGAAGCGCTTGGGGGTGATCGACTGGGAGATACTGCACATCCACAAATGAGAACCACAAATGATAATTTCAACACAAAACTTCCAAGTACTCGAGCTTAGCCAAAAAAAAAAAAAAAAAACGAAAAACGAAAAAAAAAGAAAGAATAATTAGTAATTTATTTTCTAACTACGAGATAAAGGACAACAATGTCGCGAAGGTTGCGACTGTCTCTCCAAAATCGCAAACCCACAGGCAAAAGAGGGGGAGAGTTTATCTGGTTAATCCCCGGAAGCTGGAGACGTCGAAGAGCTCCATAAACTGTTGATCTAGCATCCTCACCTTGGTGCCCGCGAACCTCCGGTACTCGTCAAAGATGGCCGTGAGCGACCAGCGCTGGAGCTTTCGAAGGCAACCAACCAAACATCCTGTGCGGTGCTGCAAAACAAGTTTTTTTCGGAATCCATGCCATTGTTAGTATCACAGGATTACGACCAAAAAAAAAACACACCTTGCCTTTGTTGCAATGGATCAGGACAGGATGATTGCCAGGATCTGTTCATCCACACAAAGCAAAGCCAGAGAACTCAGCCATGTTTCCTCACGGAACCAAAACAGTAAGAACACAGCTAACCCAACAAATTCTTGAGCGCCAGGCGAATCACATCCTCGGGGATGTCCACAAACGGCTCCTGGTACAAATCCAATCACACAGATTATGATCGACGGAAGAAAGAGAGAGATCAAAGGTCCACTCGCCTTGTTTCCATCAATGCCGAGGTGGAAAAGAGTGATCTCGTTCTTGCCGAGGAACTCGAGGATGTAGTCCGGATAGAGCTCCGGACAGAGGCAACTGCGAGGAAAACCAGGAAAAAACGAATTTTTAGCGACCGAGCAAGGATGAAAAGCGAGGAACTCAAAAGCTTACATGATTGATTTGAGCCTGCGCTTGCCCAGAAAGGGAAGATTCGTGATATTGGGATATCCCGACCTGTAGATGCCTCTGTCCACCACTGCAAAGTTTAGTGGCGGAATTAAGAGCTCGTCCAGCTGCTGGGACTGCTGCTCTTCCATTTCCTCTACGCTATTCACTACTACCCTAGTAACTGCGAATGAGAGAAGGAGAAAACCACGAACCTTTGACATCCCCAAGAGAAAAATGGTTCTCTCTTATGTAAAAACTGATGAGTTTGAACAGATTAAGAAAAAGAATGGCCCCCTCTTTTTTCTCTTTGTTCACTTCTCTATTTAGTGTGTTCTGGTCCTGGATAGATGGATCTATCACCCAAGCTCTCATTTTAGTACGACCAAACCAAGCGAGAGAATGAAAATCCGAGACCCAACCTGCGTGAGTAGTCCTGGCGTAGGAGTATACTGAGTTATCTTGTGGTATAGTGGTCGTCACTTATCCGCTGCCTTCGCGTTTTGCTCCGCCTGTACCGCTCGTCTCGCTGCTTGCTGGAGCCGCCTCTCGTGGTCCTCTAGAAACTCGTCTATGGCGTTTCCGGAGTAGCCTGGGCGGAGCAAGGGACCCGAGTGGTACATCCGGTTCTCGTGTGCCTGGAACGAAGTTTTCAGCAAGCAAAGGAGAAGAAACTAAGAAGAAGAGATCGTTTACCAGAGCAGGAAGACCGTCTGTTCTTTGAGCTTCCAAACTAGTTTGCTCCTTGAGATACGACGACTCCTTTTGCAAATCTTCCACAGGCTTGGATGTCTCGGCCGGTTTCTCTACGTTCTCAGCCTTACCATTCGAAAGACTCGGCTTTGCGGAGCCGCTGTTGCCTTCTTTTTCTTTCTCCCTGTGCCTGCTTTCTCGCCTTTCCCTTCGTTCACCATGCCGTGCAGCGACCAAGCTCGAGTAGCTCGACAAGTCGGCTGGCTGGGCGGGAGCATTAAAGTCAGTGACCGTCTTCGACGTCCGCGTCATCATTCTGGGAGGGGCCATTCTCACGTCATCCTCCTTTTGTTTCCTCGTCATTGGGCCGGACCGCGAGGAAGCAGGAGGGAGACGACCGACCGGCGATGCACCTTTTACATCTGATTGTCTTGGTGGATCTATCGGAAAACCAATTGCTGGGTCCTCATTTGCTGGAAGGAACTTTTCACTTTTACTCTTTGCAGAGTGAGAATGAATACGGCGTTTCTGTCGTACAAATACGGATGGTATATCAGAGCTTGAGATCTAAGAGTTCGAGATCTAAAAAGAAAGTGTACCTGCAATGAGCTTGGTAACTCTGCATTTGCATCTGGCGCCGGAACCGCCTTGCTACTCCGCTCCCTGGAACCTCGTCTGGCATCCGAGCCGGCATGCCTGCCAGCCCTTTGCCTGCAGATTTCATTTCTAAGAAACAGCCACAGTGACAAGACAAACAAACATGTACCTGCGAGCCTCTTCATCGCGATATTTGGCATCCAGCTCTTTACTTGGAGGATACTGTGGTAAGCTTGAAGGTTCACATGCATACGGCTTCTTTGTGAAGAACTGCCATGCAAAACAAAAACACTTTAGCTCCCTGAAAGTATTTAATATGCCACTGTAAGACGTACGTCACTCTCCAAGGCTGCCGCTGCAGTTTGTCGATCCGCAGGCTCGATAGCAAGAAGGGTGTCTAGAAGCGCCAATGCAGAAGCGGGAAAATCTTTGAACGTTTCCGCAATGCAACGCTTGTAAGGCTGCTGCGGCTTAAAAATAATGGCGTGTGGCAACTTCCACTTCTTCCAATACTCTTCCGCAGGAGAGCCACACAATTTGAATATTTTATGCAGCTGTTCGACCTGTGAATGCATTCAAGTTAGCAATCGAAATTTAAAACGTTTTCTTTTACCTCTGTACGACCAGGCATTATCGGCTTGCCCGCAAGCAGTTCGGCAAGAATGCAGCCGGTGCTCCAAAGGTCAACAGCAGCCCCATACTCCGTTGCTCCAAGCAACAATTCTGGAGGCCGGTACCAAAGAGTCACAACCCGACTTGTCAATGCTTGCCTCTGGTCGGGATGAAAAAAAGTGGCGAGGCCAAAGTCAGCGATTTTTAGAATCCCAGAGTTGTCCAGGAGAAGGTTTGATCCTTTTATATCCCTGTGCAATACTCCCCGAGTATGGCAGTGATCCAGACCACGAATCAGCTGCTGCATGTAGCATTTCACCTGTCGGCTTTCGCATTCAGTAATCAGAAATCAAGGAAGTATTCACGTCTCGTCTCACCTGCGGCTCTGTAAACGTGATGCCTGGACACGCAGCAAGCCCGGCAAGGTCGTGCTCCATGTACTCGAACACGAGATAGAGGCTGAAGGACATCCTGGACGTGACGAGACCCTCAAGCTTGATCACGTTGGGGTGGTTCAATCGTCTGAGAACTTGGATCTCTCTGGCCATAAACTTGACGCTTTCTGGCTCGAGATTATCAAAACGGACCTTTTTGAGCGCCACAATTTGTCCGTTATCTAAGTCGCGTGCCTTGTAGACATTACTGTACGTGCCTTGGCCAATCTGGAGAAAAAGGAAGCAAGCACCACTGTTAGAGCCAAGGAACAAGAGCAAGGAACAATAGTAGGCCGTACTTTGTCTAGTTTCTCAAACGAATCTGCTCGTCGGGGAATCCAACCTCGGATGGCCTCACTCGCCACCGCCGAGAGCCACCCAGGCCATCCAGCAGCGACTTGCTCGCCCTCTATGTGCTTGACGGGATTGCTGAGCCGGGGGTTGGGCTCCGGCATTCTCCTCCTCTCCACCACATCCCCATGTAGTCCCACAGTCCCATTTTGCTGCTGCTGCTTCCTACCTCTCGGCCTCTCCTTGCTCTCCTTCTCCACAATCCCATTCGCCACCGCAGCCTCGGTCCTCGCCGATCCATTCACCCGCTTGCTGGCCCTGGTCACAACCTTGGGGCTCTCCGACTCCTCTTGAGGATTCTCCTTGGTGCACGCACACCCCATTTCTCGCTCCTCCCTGCCTCGACACTAGAGCTCACCGCCACTCCTACATTCCTTCCCCAGCTGCCGCGAGCGTTGCCGCATTCTCGCGCACAGTCCTCGATGACCTAAATCCAGACCCTGGGCGGAGATTCTCGATGCCGCGGCCGCGCAGCCGGATTCCACACCGCGCCTCACGCACCTGGAGCAGCGCCGCCTCGATCCCGCGCCTCGATCGCGCTCATCGCCGCCTCCTCCAAGCCCTCGCCCTCGCCCAGCGCCTACATTCTCTCTTCCCCATTACAAAGAACTCTAGGGCCGCTATAGCCTACACACACTACACAGCACACCTCCCTGTATTGCTACTCCCACTTTCTTAATGGGCAATGGGGCGAGGCTAACAAACTGGACTCGCCACAGTTAGCCACTCGTTAGGCTGCAGCGCGGCTGAGGCCATTACACGACGCTAACTGGGCCACTTGTGGGGAAGGAAGGCCTAATGTTATGTTATCTCCCTCGTCCAATGGTAAAATTCTCTTCTTTACGCTGTTATCCCCGCCGGCCAGGGCCCAGGGGGATGTGAGACAAAACGCACTAATGTATGTGTGCCACTAACCATCCACATACATATATGCCTCAACCAGGGAATTTCAAGGTTCTACGGTACTAATATGGCTCAACCGGTGCTCTAAGGAGCGAAATCCCCACTTGTGGCATATAATGCTATGCATGTATGTGATTCATTATCATCATGGGACGTGGTGGATTATTGGATGTCACCTTCCATATAGTTGTTATATGCTTCTATGTAGCATGTCCCAACTCCGGGGATATTCCAGTTCCTTCGATCAATCTGATGGCGACAAGTGGCACCACGTCGTCCACTTTTTTGACTGGACCGGATATTCCCCACATCCCAGGCGTACGGAAGACATTAAATAGTGATGTTAACGTGGACACGTTGCAGGAAAATAAAAAGGATGGTAATTGGCCCTTAATCAAATCCACACAAGATTCGAACCACGTGCCTTAACAAAGGCAAAAAGACGAGCTAGGGTTTATCAAAAGATAACCCGGAACTTGGGCGCTCCATCGCCAGAGGGAAGGATTTTCCAGCGGCAGGGCTCCAGGGCATCGGACACCGGGCAGTAGCCAGCCAGCGTCACTTTCTCTCTTCCTGCGCTCCCAAATTCGAAGACGCTCGTCTCCGCCGCCAGCAATCCTGCAGCAACGCCATCGCTACTACTACTCACTGCCGACGAAGCCGCTGCGTCGACATCCGCGGAGACGGGAGGATCGGCTGGAATTGGGTCCGGCGCTGGCGCTGGCGGCGCTGGAGTTGGAGCCGGCGCAGCATTCTTCTTGCGCCCCCAAAGCAGCCCCATTCTTTTGCCGCCCAATATAGGGTTCTTGCGTTTGAGCTTCTTTATTTTTTGGCGCGCTAATCTAGGGTTTGGATATTTTGGCACCGCCTCACGCGTGGCGATCGCGAAGGCGGCTCGATCGCCAGGCTGTTTGATCGGGTAAGCTCTGCCGCGATCGCGGCTTGGGTGTATTGTTTGCGTCGTCTAGGGTTTTGGCGATTCTTTCCTCTCATGGCGCAGCCGTCTCTCACCCCCAATGCGATTGTGGCGCTCCTGGGAGGGGACTTGGAGCTCCGGCCCATCGTCCAGGTACTGGACGTGAAGCAGATTGGGTCGAATCAGAACGTCCAAGAGCGCTATCGCTTGGTGCTGTCGGATGGGACCGCTGTGCAGCAGGCCATGCTCGCCACGCAGCTCAACGAGGTCGTCAAGAATGGAACCTTGATGAAGAGCAGCATCGTGAAGCTTCAAGAGTACATTTGCAACACCGTGAAAGATAGAAAGTAAGCTACTCTTTTTCTATCCTTGTCTTCTTGTGCGAGCTTCTTTTCCTTTTTTTACAGGATAGTGATTGTCCTCAACTTGGATGTTCTTGTTTCAAATGCAGAGATGAGCGATCAACCTCCTGGAGCGGTAGTTGATCCTCCTGGTCCTAGTGGGAACCAAACAGCGTCCGCTGTCAGCTCCTACGGTGGAAGACCAGCAGAGGTGAGCTCCTTCGGTGGAAGGCCAACGGAAGTGAGCTCTTTCGGGGGAAGACAGGCAGAGGCTACCTCTTTCGGTGGAAGGCCTACAGAGACAAACTCTCTAGGTGGAAGAGCAGCAGAGGGGAGCTCTATCGGTGGAAGAACACCAGAGCCGGGTTCTTTTGGAGGACAAGCAACTCCCGCTGTGAGTCCTTATGGAAGGCCAGCAGAGCCGGGTTCTTTTGGAGGACAAGCAACTCCCGCTGTGAGTCCTTATGGAAGGCCAGCAGAGGCTAGAAGAGAAACAGTTGCGTACGGTGGAAGACCGGCAGAGTCTATCGGGTCTTATGCTCCGAATCCTCCATATGGACCGCCGCCAACTTACACGAATAGAGGGCCTATTGCAAGGAACGAGGGGCCGCCTGGACTCGTTCCTATAGCAGCTTTGAACCCGTATCACGGCCGCTGGACGATCAAAGCGAGGATCACTTCTAAGAGCGACCTCCGTCGCTTCAACAACGCCCGAGGTGATGGCAGGGTGTTTAGCTTCGATCTTCTGGATGCCGAGGGTGGTGAGATCAGAGTTACTTGCTTCAACAACGTTGCGGACGAGTTTTACGAGCGTGCTCAGGTCGGTCGGTTGTATATGGTCTCCAAAGGATCCCTCCGAGCGGCACAGAAGCAGTTCAATCACTTGAAGAACGACTGGGAGATTATGTTCGAGAAGGACTCAGTGCTCGACCCGTGTCCTGAGGACTCGTCAGTTCCGCAGCAAGTGTTTGACTTCAAGCAGGTCAGTGAGATCGAGAATCTGCCGAACAATGCCATGGTTGACGCCATTGGAGTGGTGGTCGGGGTCAACCAAACAACGACTATAATGAGAAAAAACGGTACAGAGACACAACGGAGGACGCTGCAGCTTAGAGACAGGTCTGGCAAGAGCGTCGAGATCACAATGTGGGGCAACTTTTGTACTCAAGAAGGACAGCACCTCCAGGAGCTATGTGATTCAGGCCAAAGTCCCATACTGGCAATCAAAGCAGGTCGAGTAAGCGATTTCAGCGGAAAGAGCCTGGGGACTATTTCCTCGACGCGGTTCCAAATCAATCCCGATCATCCAGAAGCACGTTCCCTGCAGTTGTGGTTTGAACGCGAGGGTAGGCACGCACAGGCGCAGTCTATTTCCAGGGAAGGAGCGGGCGGTGGTGGTCGGACGGAGAACCGGAAGACTGTGTCGCAGATTAAAGACGAGGGACTTGGCAGATCGGAGAAGCCAGACTTCGTCACTATAAGAGCGACCATCCACTTTATAAAGACGGACAGCTTCTGCTACACAGCATGCCCGCTGCAAATTGGAGACAGGCAGTGCAGCAAAAAGGTGACGAACAATGGAGACGGAACTTGGCGGTGTGAGCGGTGTGACCGAACCGTCCCCGAGTGCGACTACAGATATATGCTCTCCATTCAAGTGATGGATCACACGGGCGCTACCTGGCTCACTGGCTTCCAGGAGGCCGCGGAAGAACTCTTGGGCGTGAAAGCCAAGGACCTCTTTATGTGGAAACAGGAGGACAACGGCCGGTTCCTTGACCACATTGCCAGCATCCAGTTCACCCAGCACCATTTCAAGGTCAGGATCAAGGAAGAAAGTTTCAACGACGAGCAGCGGGTCAAAGTAAATATCCAGCGAGCCGAGAAGTTGGATTTCGTCGCGGAGAGCAAGTACATGATTGACGCGATCGGGAAGCTCAGGAGAGGCGAGCCTATCAACAACACGGCGAGCTTCTCGGCGCAAACGATGAGCGGTATGTCTGGAGCGGACGCTGGGTACCGCGCTACCACTGGAGGCGGAGGATATGGCGGGAGTGCAAGTGGATACGCTGGTGGAGGTGGCTACGGCGGAAATGCTGGCGGTGGTGGAAGTAGCGGAGGAGGATACAGTGGCTACGTCGGCAACTCTGGCGGTGGTAGAAGTGGCTTTGGTGCCAACTCTGGTAGTGGCTATGGTGGCGGTGGCGGATTCAGTGCCAACACTGGCGGTGGTACCACCAGTGGTGGCTATGGTGGCGGATTCAGTGGCAACAGCGGCGGTGGTAACACAGGAGGTGGCGGATTCAGTGGAAACGCCGGTGGTTTCGGGGGCAACAACTCAGGTGGCTATACCGGCGGATACGGTGGGGGATATGGTAGCGGCGGCGGCGGTGGTGGTGGTGGATATGGTAGCGGTGGTGGTGGCGGTGGTGGATATGGTAGCGGTGGTGGTGGCGGTGGTGGATATGGTAGCGGTGGTGGTGGTGGATATGGCAGTGGTGGCGGTCGTGGCAATACAGGATCTTACGGCGGTGGTGGAGGCGGTGCCTCGGGAAATAGTTGTTTCAAGTGTGGCCAAGGCGGTCACTGGGCCAGAGATTGTCCAAACCAAGCCTCGGGATCTGGACGAGGGAATTATGGAGCCGCGGCCTACTAGCAGGAAACCAATTTTTCTATCAACGCGGACTTAGAAACAAATGGAATGCATCGTCTCGTCGTCCTAGCCTGTGTCTCGGCAAGCAACAAAGAGAGGTACTCGCACGCACACTTTGTCTCGAATCTTTGTTTCTTTGTTTTGATGCGTTTTCTCTCGTTTGCTTGTTTTGGCAGGATGGCTTTGAGAAGAAATAAATCTTTGCTCCGTATGAACGCATTGGTTTCCAATCCATCCACGGCAAGCAAGCACACAACTATTGGCTTTCTTTGTTCTTCCCATTTTTTGTCTCGAAAGAACTATGACTGGTTGGCTTAATAGCTTGTGCGCGCTCTTTAACGGCGAGTTTGTCCCGGCGTATATAAACTACGCTGCTTGGATTTTCTGGATTTGGTGTGCCGCCTTCCACATGATAGCATGTTCATCCAAGTTTGTCGCAGCGCTGGTCGCTCCAGTTTTTATGGCGTGAAATCTTTGAATCAATGCATCGCTTCCCGGTCAAACAAAACCACAGGGAGATTTCCCAAAAGGTTGGTGCAAAGAAAAGATTAGACTATCATTTGTTCCGTGGCGGCGTGGAATGGAACTGTTCTTAATTCGTAGCTATCTTTGTTTTAAAGATCAAGAGGAGAACACGAAGAAAACATCGTAAACGACCACTCGATGGAAACGTATGCTCGGTCTACCACCTCGGACACCGACTATCACCTCGGACACTCCACTTCGGACACCTCGGACAAGGAATACCGGGCGCGCGCGCGCTAATAGAGAAAACTCACTCCCTACTTCTCGGGAATGCTGTCCAGTGCCGGGCTCCACACGATGGATCTCCGCTGGACGCTCGACTCGCATGATCTCCGCTTGGAGGAGGAGGATCTTCTCTGGGGGATTGGAGCGCTGCGCCGGATGGAGCTCCTCCTGCTACTGCTGCCCTGCTGCTTGCTCTCGCTCAAGATCTTGTCCAGGTAGTGCTTGGAGATGATGAACTTGGTGGTGCCCTCGGCCTTGTTTCTCGTGGGGAGTAGCGGCTCGTCCAGATTCTTGGGCCCCTCGCGCTCCTCCTGGTCGTGTTCTTGGCCTTCCGGATCTGGCAAGGGGAGGAGGAGATAGATCTTGCCTGGCTGGAGCGTCGCCTTGGCCGGGATCATCTTGCTCTTGCGGCGCACGAGGATGGTGCTGGCGAGGCAGAGGAAATGGTGGGGGTGCTGGAGCATGACATCGCCGGCTTTGATCTTGGCGCCGCGGGGATCCAGCTTCATCACGTCGCCCTTGGCCTGGAGGATGATGATCCACCGGCTCGTGCCACCGCCACCGCCGCTCTCGTCGTCGCTGGAGTAGTCTATCGACGATATCCTGCAAGCATTCCCCATCGAGATTCTTGGGTTCCAGCCAAGATCGAGAGAGAATCGAGAAAGGAGCTCGAAATCTCCTCGAAATCTCTGGAGTCTTGCCAAGATCGAGAAGTATCTTGCTGTTCTTGGAATTCCTGGCCAAGAACCTAGCCTGTTCTTGGGATTTCCTGCAACGATTGACAAATTGCCTGTGAGAATCTGGCGCAACGCACAAGAACCGAGCGCGATTGAGAGCTACCGCCAGCTACCCCTGACAATCTCTCGCAGCGCTGATGGATCGATCGCGTGAGCGGGCAGAGATTGCAAGCCTGGAATGGAAATCGATGGAACAAGAATGGATGGATCGCGGCTAGAATAGAATTTGATGGATTAAACTAGTCGGATTCGTCGAGGGCGAGTGGATCACATGCGAGGAGCGCCTCTCAAGGGCAAGCATTTAATGCGCGATGTGATTTTTCTTCCTTTCTTTCCCGGTAGCGATGGTTTCGCGTGGCCGATTTATATCCGCCACAACGCTCGCACGGACGCCGCACGGAAGCATATTCTCTACCTGTTGACCACGTGGCGCGCATGTGAACGTGTGAAATTGTAAGCCGCCGGTTTCCTCGCTAGAGGTGACGGTTTTGACTAATTCGTAAAATCCGGGGCAGCAAGACGAAGTTGTGCGTCCGTGCCCGTATGATTTGCTCCACTGCTTCCATAACAACGTTTTCTAAAGCGAACTACTAGCTCAGAAATATATTGGGATGAAATTACACCCTGCCACATTGAAAGTTGGCCATGCAACAAAAGAGCCCACTTGGAATTGATGGCACTTGTCCTGTTGACACGTAGACTTTACCTCACCCATCTATTCATCGCCACGAGGCACAAACCAAATAACACACGTAAAAACGACATGGAAGTTCAACGTCTTGGGCGCCACCTTTTATCTTTTTTTCTCCATGCCCATCTTGTTGATAATATCTCCCGCATGGCGTAAGCATGAGGCAGCTCTGGATACAAATGAATGTCGCAAAGTGCCTTGAAGCTGGAAATCCAAGAGCGCTGTTGTAAAAGGAGACTCTTATCCTTCGCCGCTTGCAAGGGGCGTGGATTCCCCAAACTTCCAAACTAATTACGTTATCACAAAGAAAAACCTCGCTTTGTCACGCCAAAACCTTTGAGTGATTTGTGTTCTTTACGACTTTTCTCCACTTGTTGGGCACTGCAAGACCCTTAAAAAACATTACTCCCACGAATAAATCTCCACTAGATACTTGATTATTTTTTCACTAGGTAGTTCTTCTCTTTTGAATTCTTATCTTGAAGAATCACAATTGTAGATGACAAGAATGTCAAGAAAGCATCTGAGGATAGCACATTGAATGTGCTCGAGTGAGCAAGCGAGGATTTTCCTCGCGGATCATCTCCAAAATTGCGTTGCAATAGCAGACATTTCCAAAATTCACAAGCAAATCACCAGTAGCTCACTCACGCAGGACAGGTTTTTGGCTAATTTACTTGTGGATGCGTACGGAAGGTGCGGGAGCCTGGAGCTGGCAAGACAAGTCTTTGATCAAATCAGCCAACCCAACGTTTTCTCTTGGGGTATCCTTCTCTCGGCATATGCCAGGAATGGGCATCTAGAGAGAGCTTACTCGCTTCTCAAGTTCGCACCAGAGCATAGCATTGTCTTGTGGAACATCATACTCACTTCGTTTCTCGAAAGAGCTGGGATTTGCAAAGGAGCAAAAATCTTCCAAGAGGAGATGCCAGTCCTTGACATGGTTTCCTGGAACGCATTTCTTGCAGCTCATGCCGAATCTGGGCATATCAGACTCGCCGAAGAGATCTTCGTTTGCATGCCAGAGCACGATGTGGTCTCGTGGAACACAGTGATCGCGATGTACGGACGTCTTGGAAATCTCCAAAACTGTGATGAAATTTTTGAGAAGATGCCGGAGACCAGCTTGATATCTTGGAACGCTCTTCTCCACTGCTATGCCGAGCTTGGGCATCTTGCCAGATCCAAGCAAATCTTTGACAGCTTCCCGGAGTATAACGTTGCGTCGTGGACGACAATGCTGCAAGCCTATGCTTTGAGCGGGCATCTTGAGGAAGCCAAGAGCTTGTTCGATCAAATGCCCGAGCTGACGCTCCAGTCATGGACGTCGATGCTTCACGCCTATGCCCGGAATGGGTTCCTCGAGGAAGCGCTGGAAACGTTTCGAGCCATGCCGGAGCGGGATGTCGTCGCCTGGACGGGCCTTCTGCATGCGTTCGTCACTTCCGGAAGCTTGAGCTTGACGAAACTCTTTTTCGACCGAATGCCCGAGCGGAGCACGGTCTCTTGGAGCTGCTTGATCGAATCTAGCGTCCTGGCCGGGGCCTGGAGGCAGGGACTCGAGAGCTTCCAGGAGCTGAATTGCAGTGGGCTTGACAGCAACGATGTGTGTTTCCTGGCGGCTCTTATCGCTTGCGGCTATGGCGGTCTCGTCCACCGGGGCTGGCAGCTCTTTGCGTCGCTGAGTGGTGACTTTGGATTGAGTGCTCGGCCGGAGCACTACTCCGCGATGGTGGGCTTGCTTGCGAGAGCTGGAGAGCTGGACCGGGCGGAGGAGCTGAGCGTCACCATGCCGTTCGAGGCTCACGGACCCGTGTGGAGGGCACTTCTGGGAGCTAGCTCCGTGCACCAAGTTGGACGCTATGGTGGCGTCGCTGGGAAGCAAATGCTGGAGCTTGACCCGGGAAATGCAGAAGCGTTCGTGCTTCTATCCAGAGTGTGCACGAGCTCTTGAACAAAACATATGAATTTTTTTGGTGACTTTCTTTTACAAATCTACAAAAAAAAAACATCGATTGCTCAGTCTGAGAAGAACAAACGAACTTTGCAAAACAGACCTTATCATGGCTTCTTTCTAGAGCTCGCATTCCACAAAGCAGCCACGCTCACCACAACAGGAGTGAATATCATTGCCAGAGCCTGGAGAATGCTGGGTCTTGCAATATCTGGAACGATCAAGCTCCCATACTTGATGAGAATAGCACCACCTACACATCCAGCGATCAATTTCGCAATGTACCTCGCGTCCTCCTGAGACACAAGCCATGAGAACGCATACGAAGCCTGAATGACAGAATACCGGCGGTAGTAGAGCCCGAGATTGATTGTTTTTTGAAGCTTCTTCCTGTGGAGATGGCGAAGAAGGCGCACAAGAGACCACTACATCTCTCTGCTTGTGAATAGCAGCAGCCCAATCTCGTCCTCCAAAACGGCAAGGCCCTGCACCCCTTGAGCGTGAATGAAGAAATGGAACGAACCTATGGAGCACTGGCACAGCCATCGCCATAGCTTCACATAAAGCCAATCTTTACGCCGATAATATCCTACACTGGAAGAAAAGCAAACTTGAATGAATAAAAAGAATTGTTACATTACACTCTGAGGAAACCTTCCGCCAGAAAAAAAAAAGTATAGAGGTGGTGCTAGGATACATATAAGCACCTGGAAGTTTCAATATCTATACACTATTAGTACTATGGTATAACTCACAGTATGGTTTAGAAACTGCCTCAGTAAGGCTTGTATCCGCTCATACTGGCCTCGTGCGCGCTTCCCGACTTGTAATAATTTTGGTACCATTTCACAAAGTGCTTGAGACCAAGCTCCAGATTGGTCGTGGGTGTGTAGCTGAGATAAAAAATAAACGCGAGTGTGAGTCAAACAGAGGGAAAGCATTCTCACCCCAGCTCCAGGCGTGCTTTGGTCACGTTAGCATGTGTATACATCACGTCTCCGGTGTTTGGCATCGGTTGAATGCTGCAATCAAAGAGTTAGAGAAGGAATAAAAGTCTTCAACACCAAGGCGCTTACTGTCTGATTGCCTTTTTGTTGAGGTGTTTCTCCAAAATGCTCACGAGTGTGCCGACTTTCACAGGATGCGTATTCCCCAGGTTGAAAACTCTGTGCTGTGCGGCAGTGTTTTTCCTGCCTCCGCTGCCGGTGCTTGGAGTCGCCGTGTCCAGAGAGGCCACACAGCCTTTCACAACGTCGTCGATGAAAGTGAAGTCGCGGGCCAACTCCTCCCCATGTGGACCTTGAAATATTCTAATCGGCTACACACGTTATAACATAAGCGGTTTAGATCGCGTGATTCACAGTGACGGACAACGGCACCTACATGTCCCTCCACGATGTTCCTCGTGAACGAGAAATACGCCATATCGGGACGGCCCCATGGGCCATAGACCGTGAAGAACCTGTCGAAAAAATTATATATGAAGTCAATGAACGTGAGCTTCACCTCAACGCAGTGATAGATAAGCCATATATGTGATTGTACGTGTGTGCAAGCGCCTCGTCCGCCTTCTGCGAGACAGAACGTCTGGACATTAGCAAAAGAAGAAAAGACGACTGAAAAACCTGTTACCTTCGTCGCTGCGTAGAGGCTTGCAGGTCGGTCGGTGGTATCCCCTTCTGAAAATGGAACCTGCACCGGACTTTGTCAGGAAATGGCTTGAGATGCGACAGTCGTACTTTGTCATTGAGACCATACACACTACTCGAAGAAGCAAAAACTATTGCTGGTTGCGGATTACTATTCTGCAAGAAAAGTCAAGACAGATAATTAGAACAAAACCTCGTTGCATTTTAAAGCTCTCCACCTTGCATTGTTCTAACAATGTGACAAAACCGTTGACATTGCTGTGCACATACGCCAAAGGATTGTGGGTAGCATACCGAACCCCGGCCTGCACTCCACCGAATTTAGTTCACTGCAAAGAAGTTCGAGCCGAACGTACCTGAGCAGCTAGATGCAAGACATGTGTAAACTTCACAAGAGCGAACAATCTCTCCAGCAATGCCGAATCATTTATATCCCCATCTACGACAAAACTGTCCGGCAAAATCAGCGAGCAATAGCCACGATGAGCATGTTACTTACACTCCGTCTTTGAGCAAATTCTTCGCGCGGGCCCGTTTCAGCGCCACTGGATAGTAGCTGTTAAAGTTATCCAGCCCTACAACTCCATCTCCACGCTCTCGCAAAGCCAGCGAGACATGTGAGCCCACAAATCCTGCTGCCCCCGTGACTAGCACAACCATCTCCCCTCTCTGTGTGTCACACTCATTGTTAGCACACGAAGAAGCATCCCAAGCTAAGAAACTGGACAGCACCTTTTTCATTGCGGACTTCTGGACCTTGTCCGACCAAGCGGGATTTGTGTAATCCGTCCGCTTGTTATGAGAAGGAAACGATCCAGTCCAGAAGTAAGCAGCCCTGCATTGAAAAGAAAAGAAAAAGAGTGTAGAGAAGATTTTCCCGAAGAAGAGAACTTACGTCACAAGAAGGAAAACGAACAGGCAGAAGGCCTTGAGAAGGCTCATATGCCGCAATGTAGACCGATTGAAGATATAGTAAGTGTGAGCTCGGACTTTCTGGTTGTCATCGCCGTCTAGAAGCCTGATAAGCTCTGGTGGCAGCGCGCTAGAGCTCTTCGATACCGCCATCACTCTATCCTAGCGATCAATGCAAGCCTTTCCCCCTCGGCAGCTAGGAGCTCACAAGAATGAGATAATCCTCTTCTCGACCACGCAATGCAGCATCCTCCTGCAAGAATCCTCGTCAACACGGATCGAATGCCACAGACAAAAGCCGAGCTCCTGGATTGTCCAGCCAAGAATTCACCAGAGAATAGCCCCAAACTAGAATGCGAGGAGACACACGCACACACACACCTCGAATGCAGCGCCGATGGCCGACGCGACGATCCCTCTGTCGCGCGCGCGCGCTCCAAGAACCCTAACAATCGATCGATCGGGAATGGACACACAAAATATTTGCTACGACCTCCAGACCTATAAAACCAAGAGAGCGGTATAATTCGCTGGCAAAGAATGTTACTTCCTCCCTTCTTCCAACGGCTAAAGAGTCCCCACATAGCCACATTCCGTCCCAGAATCCATCGTACCCGTCGATTCCGCCACGGAATTCCACACCGGGGATTCTGGGGCGGAATTCTTTCCCACCGCCACCACATTCCTCCACGGGAATGATGAAGGGGTAAACAAATAAACAAAGGAAGAAAAGCGTTTCATTCATGGCGATGGTGGTGGACGGAGCTGGCTTGCATTGAATGATACAGTCTCACACTGTAGCAGTAATTCCCGGCAAGGAGATTGGGAGACTTACACTCTTTGGATCGATGGATGGACCTTTTTCTCTCTATCTCTGGCGGAGAATTTACTCTTTGGATGAATCGATCGACCAATTTCGCCTGGCATGGAGTTTTACTCGCTCTTTGTCTCCTAGATCAAGGAATACATCTGGTGAGCGCTCAAAGTCACGAAAGGCTGACACTATGACTCTACTGCGATCCGCTTTTGTTTTCATCCACAGTACGCGCTCTCTTCATGGCATGTTCTTGCAGGACGTGCGGACGATCCTGCAAAGAAAAAAATCGTTTTTTTTTTCCTGTTTTTCGTGGTTTTGATCATGCTGTTCTTGAGGGATTGTAAGCTAACAAGGACAAATATTCCGACACAAATTATCAGAAATCCTGTCTTTCATGAGCAGTAATCCACAGTTGCAAAGACCCGCTCTCAAACACTTCGAGATTCGAATGTAAAATTGCGAATTCTTTTAGTAATTCCTACCAAAAATCTTGGCACGAGCATGTCCCGTTGTCAAACTCGTGGAACCGGTTTGCATCACGGACAATGATCCTCCTTCCCGTGATCTTGGAGATAAACTTGGTAGCGGTGTGACAATCCAGGCACACTCGCAAGTTCTTGACAACTCGAACTGGCTCTTTGCAACGATCATCCAACGACATGAGCCCAAACGCAATGGCCAGCTTCTCGCTGTGGTGACTCAAAATCCCCTCTTTGTGTTCTTCGTCAACATCGTGAAGAACTTCCCGCGTGTCTGGAACATAACCAGCTTCTTTCATCGCGCAGTGAAGTTTCTCGAGCTCGCTGCGAATCTCCTCGATCCTGGGATGCTCGTTATCGCCCGCTATGAATCTGTGCACCCGGTTGTCCACCTCGATCAAACTTATCCCGGGAACCTTCTGCCACCCGGGATTTCTAAAGTTCTTCGCCTTCTTGTCCCTGATCTTCTTTCTCACGCTCGCTTCCTCGGCCTCCATGCCGGCAGCAGCGTAAATGTTGGCCAGCAGCACGAACGGAGTGATGCTATCTGGATCGAGCTCCGAGTATCTATCCACAGCTCTCTCGGCTCGCTTCACGTCTCGATAGATCTTGCAAGCTCCCAGCAGAGTCGCCCATGCCACAACGTTTGGAAGGAAAGGCATTTCGTAGATAAGCTCCTCGGCCTCTTCTAAGAGCCCGGATCTTCCAAGAACGTCGACCATGCAGCAGTAGTGCTCGCCAGCCGGCTTAAGTTTGTAGTCGCCGCGCATGACGAGGAAATACTTCAGCCCCTCGCCGAGGAGCCCGACTCGGCTACATGCCGTGAGGACGCTCACGAAGCAAATCTCGTCCATTTGCTCGCCTCCAAGACACATCTGCTTGAAGAGCTCGATGGCGGCCTTGCCTTGGCCCGAGTGAGCGTAAGCCGAGATTATAGCGTTCCAGGTGAAGGAGCTCAGCACGGTCATGCGATCAAACATGGATTTTGCTTGCTCCAGGCAGCCGTTCTGGGTGTAGGCAGCGATCATCGCGTTGCAAGCGATCAAGTCCTGCCTGGGAATCCCATCAAAAAGACATTTTGCTTTGCCGAGGCACAGGTTTTGGCCGTAAGCAGCAACCATGGTCGTGAGAGAGATGGTGTCGTGCTCCGGGAGGCGATGAAACACTTGCTCGGCCTCCTCGATATGACCACTTTGGCCGTAAGCCGCCACCATGCTCGACCAAGTTACCATGTCCTGCTCGGGCATGAGCTCAAAAACCTTCCTCGATTCGGCTACGAAGCCATTTTGCGCATATCCAGAGATCAATGCGTTCCAAGACACGATGTTGCGATCCACCATTTGCTCGAACAGCAGACGAGAATCAGCAACATGACCACCCTGCGAGTACGCACTGATCATCGCGTTCCAAGTCACAACATTTCGCTGTGGAACTCGATCGAAAACTCTCCTCGCAACACTCAAGTTGGAGCTTTGAGCATAGCCAGTGAGCATGGCCGTCCACGAGTAAATCCCCCGGTTTCTCATATCCTCAAACATTGCTTTAGCTTCGTCCAGGCAACCACACTGCGTGTAAGCCGTGATCATGTTTGTCCAAGAGATGGAATCCTTGTCGGGCATTTGATCGAAAGTGGCTTTTGCCTCGTCCAAGTGCTTGTTTTGAGCGTAGGCTTGAACCATGCTCGTCCACGAAACCACATTGTGCTCGCGCATTCTATCAAATGTCTCCTTGGCTTCTTTGAGATGACCTTCCTGAGAATAAGCAGCCAGCATGGAATTACAAGCGAGGATTCCATGCTCGGGCATCTTGTCGAACATTCTCTTCGATTCCGGGATATGCCCATTTGAGGCGTATGCCGTCACCATGGCTGTCCACGTAATTCGATTCCTGTACGACCTCTTCTCAAATATTTTCTTCATAGCATCAAAGTTACGTGCGTCTCCGTACGCGTGAAGAATTGTGCTTAGCGTGAGAGGGTTATCGCAATCCATTGAATCAAAAAGCCTTTTTACTCTCTCTAGATGCCCCGATTGGGCATATACTGACAACTGCGTGTTCTTGGACACCACGTCTTGCTCGGGCATCTTCTCGAGAATCTTTAGAGCATATTCCAAGCACCCGTTCTGCGCATACGCCGACATAACTGCATTCCACGAAGTTTGATTCCTCTCGGGCATTCTATCGAAAGTATATTTTGATTCCTCGAGATTCCCGTTCCTGGCAAAGAACTGGATCAGAGCCGTCCACGAAACGATGCTCCACGCGGGCATGAGATCAAACACGAGTTTTCCTTCCTTGTAATACTTGTTCTGTGCAAACCCAGACATGAGGCTGTTCCACGACACCACTTCCCTCCTCTCCATCACATCAAAAACCTCTTTTGATCGCCAGACTTCTCCTCCATGGGCGTAGGCCGCGATCATCGCATTGCAAGAAATGAGATCCTTTTGCGGCATTCGATCCAGCAGCTCGCTCGCCCGGGCAAGATCCCCGATCTGGGCATACGCCTGGACGACCGAGTTCCACGAGCAAGCATCGCGCGCCGGGATCCTTTCAAAGATTGCTCGCGATTCCTGGATGTGGCCGCACTGTGCGAACCCCGAGATAGTCGAGTTCCAGAGAAAAACGTTGCGCTGGGGCGAGGAATCAAACGATCTCTTCGCCTCGCGCATATGCCCATTGTGGGCATATGCCACGATCAAGACGCCCCAGGAAAAGACGTTGGGTTCTTGGATGCGATCGAAGGCGGAGCGCGCGTCCTCCACGCTGCCGCATCGCCCATACATCTGGATGAGGAAATTGGCGAGGTATCGGTCCCGCGAGAGCTCCGGCCGGGTGTGGAGGATGTGGGCGTGGATGCTCTTGCCCCGCGCCAGGCTCCCCGCCATGCCGCAAGCTCGGATCTGCGAGACGAGGAGCTGGACATCGCGATCGCGGGCGCGATCGCCGACCGCATCGCCGGAGACGAGAGTGCATAGATTGCGAATGCGGAGGAGCCATGGCATTACATTCTCAAAGGGGTAAAAGAGTTTTCTTAGTCTCACTTAATCTCAACCGCTGGATCTCTCACATCTAACGGCCATTATTGCAAAAATGCAACGGCCATTATTGGATATGCCAAGAATAATTTGATGGGTGCTCTTCAATGGCGATTAATGAGCCTTTGCGTTTCTTCTAACACCTGAATAGAGATCAATGTTATAGAAATCTTTCAAGAACAAGGAATTTGTGGGGATTAACTTGCCTTGAGAGCAATCATCGATGGGGGCAGCTCGTTCAAGTCTCTACCTAGCTCACTCGCAATTTCTGGACCCAAACAATCGTTTTGTAAGAATGAAACAAAAAAACAAGCTATGAACATACTTGCCACGCTGATCTTAAGATCAGCCCTCTCGTAGGCCTTGTTCCTCTCTTCGTACACCTTTGATAGACGAGCCAAAGCCTGAAAATATTTTTTTATAATTTTTTTGCAATGAAACAATGACAAACAATCGAGCACGAGAAAAACCTGTTCGTGAGCGTTGCCTGGCGAATTGTCCGGCCCTGATGCTACTAAAAGTGGCCGCTTTTCCAATCCAGCGGCCACCACGCGTTGTGCCAGAGCTTCCACGGGAACGTCCAAATAAATGGTGATCCCTTGCTTCAAATACCTCCTGTAAAAATCATCCCATGGTCAAAAAAAAAAAAGTCAAAAAAAAAAAACCTTAGATGTAACTCATGTTACCAGTTCTCGTCTCTTACAACCGCGCCACCGCCCGTGGCCACCACAACGTTGGAGGTCTCGGACAATTGATTAAGCGCTTCACTCTATACCATAGAGAAGAAGAGGCTTCAATGTTTTGCCACTTGACATTCGAACTATACAAACCTCCGCTGCTCGGAATTTCTCCTCGCTGGAATCGCTGAAGATCTTTGCGACTGTAGCGCCGACGGCCTTCTCGACAAGCTTGTCACTGTACCAAAAAAACAACGTGACACTTTTCCTTTATTTATTTTGTTTTCAACCTGTCTTGAAACTCATAGCTGAGCGCCTCTGAGATATCCTTGGCGACGGTACTTTTGCCGCAGCCCATCATCCCTGCAAGTGGAAAAAAGAGAAAAAGATAAAATGCCGAACTGGTCAACTCACCAACTAGAAACAGGCACGTCCCGCTTAGATCCCCGGCGACTTCTCTGCCTTTGATCTGCGAGAGAACACAGGAAAAACGTGGTCGTGGAGTTTCGTTAATCCTGATAAATCGAAAGCTTTGCGCCGACAATCGATCAAGATGCTTACAGCGAGAGCAGAATCGTTGTGAACCTTGCGAATCACTGGAGCTGCAACATCCAAATTGAACGAAAACCATTTAGAAACAAATCCAGACGGAGATGGCATTTCTCACGGACATTGGAACAAGGTGGTCTGGATCCGTGAGAAGAAGAAGTAGCCTCCTAAGGGGCGGTGGTGGCGGTAGTGAATGAAGATCCCAGCAATGTACTCTCGCATCCAAGCTTCTACCTCCTCTCTTCCGCCAAGATCCTCCGACAAAGTTTGAATCAGAGGAGCGCTCTTTATATTTCGATCGAGATCTAAGAATCCCATATGCTTCTGTAACAGATGATGAAAGCCATCAAGCTGGAGCAGCTGCATGGTAGAATGTGGACTAGTAGAAGTTTGAAGAGATCTAGAACTAGATACTTGCAAAAAGAGCTGAGCAAGGCAAGACAAGGCAAAAGCTTCGAGGGTGTGGGTTTTTTATGCGCCTAAGACTAACTGTACAAGGGTAATGCATGAAACATGCGGAGGGAAGAAATCTCCAAGAATCCTCCAATTTCATTAGATCTTGCTGTTCATACTTTACTGTCAATATGATGCAAGTGGTACAACATGCGCATCTACATAGTGATCACCTCATTGGGGCAACCCTTAATCGGCTAAGCTGCTGGGCAGCTCACATTCTTCTTGGTGTACCTCATCAATCCAAGAACCGAACCTTTAGGGAGTAGATATTTTTCTTTTTGTTTATAATTCTTTAGAGACCTTTAATCAACGGCCTGTATTATAACACGTGCCAGTTTCCAGGGCGATCCGGAAGCTGCTCGAACGAGACCAATGGTTTTGGCAACTGCAGACTTGGAAAGTGACCTTGCCACAGCGATATTGGAACTTACGGTATGTAAGCAAATCCTTCGCTTTTCTTGTCTCCCGCATTTTCAGGCGCATTTTCAGGCGCATTTTCAGGCGTAGCTTGTGGCTATGGTGAACTTCCCACCTTGCCTTGCCCATCCTATTCAAAAGGCAGAGGCTGTGGTGCATGCTACAAGGTATGTGACTTTGACATTTTTCTCTTCTCCGTTTGTGGCGAACCAATGCACCAAAAGATGCTGGTGCTGACCGCTAAGAAAAAATTCGTGATTTGGAGCAGGCTCGTAAAGAAAATCTGAGAACGAAAAACTATACTTTTCCGCTTACAGGTTCTATCACTCCTC